TTTGAACCGCTGAACTGCAGATCACAGTCAACTAAAGTGGCCTGCAGTACTGCACCCTAACCACTGCACCACCTCGGCTCTTATAAGTTGAGAAAGAGTAGCGTGAAACCAATGGGCAACCCCACCAGCATTGCCTGTGCTTGCTTTGAATCCAGCAGCCAGTGGCTGATGTGCTCCCATAAAAGAAGAGAAACTTTACAGTATTACAAAAGACGATTGGGGAAAGGAAGGTGTTTTTCAAACTCTTTATTAATCTCTGGATATTTTCTAGTAGGCAGTGATTTTATCCTCAGTTCTTCATACGATATTCATTCATCACATACAGGGAGGGGAGCGACTGACATTCCTCATTGGGTCAACACATTTTGCTTGCAATCCATGTGTAAAACTGAGGTTGGGTCTTAAATTTAAACTGATTTATTCCCACCGATTTCAATGGAATGGAAAGTATCCTGGCTCCCATGCTTTGTGACTGAGATTAGCTGGTGCAGAAAATCCAAGCGAGGCCGACTCAGCAAGGGCAGCTGGCTTCTGGCCACTTCCTGACTGGATTTGCAGTCAGATTGCAGAGAGGTGTTTGCAAGCAGCTGCTCTTTGCTAGTGAGAAATATGGCGCTCTGGGACGCTGGCTCGGTCAGGCATATCTGGCTTTGGATGGGGAGCACAAGGTTAGACGACATGAATGGCAGCAGACTCTCCTTAACCCTCTGCTGAGGCGGTTTTGTAACAACCTGGCCTTGGTTTTGATCTTCTGGAAAGCATGACTCATCATCTACGCTATAAACTGGTTCTCAGGAGCAGCATTTCAGAATGGCTGCATTTTCACAGGTCAAGAAGCAAAAAGCAAGATAAATAGCACAGCTGGGAGTTTTGGAAGAAAAGAAATTGCTAAAGGGCAGTCCAAGACAATCTGAACTAAACGAACCTCAGTATAATTGGCTCATTCAGCCGGAGAGAAAGCTACCTCGTGGGCTCTCCTTCCCGCATGGCTCTAGGCATCTCTCTAATATAGGAGAACTATAGCAGTGTGCATCCCTTCAATCATCCAAAGAAGATGAATAGGTTGTGGAAGAAGATAGAGCAGTGTTTCTCAACGTTGGCAACTTGAAGATGTCCGGACTTCAACTCCCAGAATTCCCCAGCCAGCATTCGCTGGCTGGGGGAGTCTGGGAGTTGT